TTTATCTGCTACGAGTTAATAATGAAATAACATACCTTTTCTTGAAGTAGCTAAACAGTCGTTTCCCCCTCGTCGTGAGGGTCTGCCAATTAGGATTGGTCCTTTCAGAAGAGACGGATGAACATATCTAAACATTTTGTAGTCCCTACAATTTTCATCAAGTGTGAATACAAATAAGCTCCTAAAAAGGCAGGCTCGCACCTCGAGAGGCCATGGAGGTTTTCACACCTGTGTACTCCAGATACTTATAGACCTGCATTTTAGATTTGGACCCATTATCAAGCTTAACTTGACGAACGAGAACCCACATATGTTTTACAAGCACGATTCCTCTTTATGAACTAGAGGAACAGTATATTGTGGCTTTATCGGCAGGGTTATGCATGCATGCTTGACGCAACTCTTCTCTGCTCCTTTTAGGCATCATGGGTATGTCTTTGCACATCTTCCGGTGTTCTCGTCTTGACACAAGACAACCTTCAGCACCAGTTAGGTTTGTTATAACACAATTGCTCTAGCACTGCGTCTTACAGAGTCTTATGACACGCTTCTGGTCAACTTCTACGCCGATTGGTGTCGATTCAGCCAGCTTCTGGCGCCTATATTTGAGGATGCAGGTTCTCAGGCCGCCGTAAAATTTCCGGTAGGACCGTCTGTACTCCTGACTTTATTTTTCTATTTGACTTCTTCTTTAGACCGGTTCAGTAGCTCTTGCCAAGGTTGACTGTGAGACCGAAGGTATGTGCAGTTTTAGGTTATCCTTGTTATTCTTCGTACTCTGTGTGCATCCTTATCACGGCTCCTATCTAGTGTCTATACGATAGGTAGTTGTGGTTGGAATTGTAGATCGACAAGAGAGTTCTCATTGGCGTTGCTAGTGCTGGCAGTAGTGGTATTGTGTTGTGACATGAGAGGCGGGTTTGTCGTGTTGACGTTTGGTCCGCAGATGTCCAGCGGGGTCGGTCCAAGTCTGAAATGACCGTTGACAGTAGAGACAAGATGGCAGGCGTTGGGTGCCGGCACATTCGATTTTTGCAGGTATCTCTTTGCCTTGCCGATGACTATTTAGTTAGATTCCAGTGTGGCCGCTCCAGTTTTTATGGGAGCACATCGGGCCTTTCGATATTGAGCGATTTTCCCCTAGCTTTCCAGGTTGATTTACAGATGCTTGAAAGGGTCTTCAAGGGGTTCTTGTAGCGATGCTCTTGTCCGCCGTTCATGTGGTCAACCGCAGTTGCATCGCCTTCGAATAG